GCTGAAGCAAGTCTGGTGACCTCCACATCTGTAATAAACTATGAAGCTGAAGCAAGTCTGGTGACCTCCACATCTGTAATAAACTATGAAGCTGAAGTAAGTATTCTCGACCTTAAGTCCAAACTCATGAAGCTGTTTGGTTTTTGATAATATTAGCAGTTGATGTCCTGGATTCAACAGTGAGCCAATGCGCAGTGGATTCGGGAATATTAGACCACGTTTTGCAAATAGTGGCGTTGTGGAACTTTCACGACCTTATACATGTTGTTTAGTGCACATAACAGTTGTCTGATAGCGTTTCTACAGTTCTAACGATCTGTATTTCCATAGAAAATTATAGATGGAAGTACCCACAAAAATGTGAATTATCAAGTCTAGAGACGAAGTTTGGGCACTGACTTTTTAGGGCAGATGTCACGTGCAACGTGAGTCGATAGAGCTGTGCATTCGTACAACAGGACACGTGAAATGTTCACACGACTACTTGTTTGTTTGTGTGACTTTTAGCGCAATGTTACACGATGGACTACCTGCGCTCTATGCAGGAAATCGAACCCGGTTTTTATGTTGTAAGTTCGTAAACTTACCGCTAACTCACCGGGGGGCTCATACAACCAACGACATATCACGTTTTATAACTGGTTTAAGTATAGTTTTTTTCCATGGCGGACGAAATACTTGCTCTTTTGGATTTGGATTTTTAGCCGCGGCATAGTGGCTCAAAGAACGGCTCTGAGTTTTTCAGGTACAATCTAGTAGCTCATGGCTCTGCCACCTCTTGACCGATTTGAGATCTAATTACAGTTTTGGGCTCAGAGGTCAAACCTTTTCGATTGATGTATTTGACCACGTCCAAGATCTCATAGATTAATTTACTCTAATCTTACCTAAAATCATTTCAATTTGAGGGTAGGCTGGTAGAGATCCTGATAAGTAATAAGATCGAATCAGGTATGCGCGCGCCCCACGCCTGGTATTGTTAACACATAAAAATATAGCTAATAAGAAGGGGGGAAAAAAATATCATAGATGAATTTACTCTAATCCTGCCTGAAAGAATTCCAAGTGCCGCGGCTATTGAGGATTCCCTCTTGTTTTGTATTTAGTTTATATAGTTTGAGATAATATACAATTCTAATGATCGATTGTATTTAATTAGTGATCTTGATAGTTTTTGCCATATTTGTACACGTTTAACAACAAAACTTATTTATCATGTAAATACAGAATATATATATTTTCAATTCATAAACTCACGGCTATTCATATTAACATAACATTCAACCACACGGGTTCGAATCTCTGTCACACCAAACATGTTCGCCTTTTCAGCCGTGAGTGAGTTATAATGTGATGGTTAATCCCACTATTCGTTGGTAAAAAGAGCAGCCCAAGAGGTGGCGGTGGGTGGTAATGACTAGCTGCCTTCCCTCAAGTCTTTTACTGCTAAATTAGGGACGGATAGCGCAGATAGCCCTCGTGTAGCTTTGCGCGAATTTCAAACCAAACCTATGAGCCTTACTGTGGGAGAATACAAAAAGTTTTGTGAGTAATGAAATAACACAAACACATAAAACAGACGTAAAAGTTTAACTAAATGATGTTTACCGTTGTGGGAAAGAAGACACTGTACAGTTCACTCCCCGGATTGAGGATTCCGCTGCAGGGTTTACGGCAGCAAGGTTTACAGTGGGAAAATTGTAACAGTTGGAAACAATGTCGTCTACAGCCGGGACACTCTTGTGTATGTTTGCTGGTGCTGAGGACAAGACAGAAGAGCTAACGTCAACAGGAACCGTTAAATGAGCATCCAAATGCTTGGTGGCGCTGTTCACGAGAGCTTCATGAAAATAGCTGAAAAGTTAAAATAACATTTTACTCTCACATATAAATGTCTATGTAGATTTATTTTACTCTAAGATGTTGTCTAAAATTGTATATATACTTTCCACATTAACATAAATAATACACACACACACATATGTACTTTTTACACCCCCTCCAGTGGCTCAGTGGTAAGTCCGTAGGCTTATAATGTTAAAAACCGGGTTTCGATACAACAAACAAACTTTTTCAGGGTGTCACAAACACATGCACATATATATATATATATATTTAATGCTCTGATATATTAGTTAAAGTGCATCACACAGGTTGGATAAGGTATACAAAAAACAACCAAAAACACTTCGGCATTTATTTGGGGAAATCACAAACTTCATTATAAATACTATTACAGAGGTTTGGATACATTATAGTAAAAACACGTTTGGAGCCTTACCACATCGTTATAGCTTATGTCACCAATTCCAATCACTCTCTATCTGATGACTGTGCAATTTGACAATATATTTGGAGCATTTTCATTACAAAAGGCCCCATCGTAAGTCTGTCATGCTCAAAGCATACCACTCCACCTTGCAGACCCCCCATAAGTTATCTAGTGTACTAGGACTACGATTTTCCAGCTCTAGTTTCAACAGTCGGGTCACACTGAAATCCATAGTCCGGCAACTTGAGTGGTATGCCTTTCCTAGCATGAATACCCGTTTTATTCGTCAGCTGATTGGGGTATGTGATGATTGATGAGATATGTTGTGGATGTAATTTATGTTGCATTGGTTATGTTGAGTACTGTTGATTGGGCCACGTTGAGGGCTTTTGCTACTGATCTTTGTATTTATGGATTTTTAACTGTTACAAGACGCCACACTTTGTGTACCATGGTTTGGAATATGACTTGTTGCTGGTCTCTTTCTGGATGATCCTGGTGCCCCCGGTTGATCCACATTCTTTAGTTTTGAATATCATTACGTACAAAGTATATCTCCGTCTTTGAAAATTTAAATCTCCGATCTGAACACATCTTCATGATATCTGAGTGTACAACTATTTTGCGTCGGAAACGACTGTTACTTACTATTCCCGAAAGCAATCCATTAGTTTGTGTTGCATCATACTACCTACGTAACGCCAAGGCCAAAATGTAGTTCTGATAGAAGCCATTTCACCACAACTTTATACCATCTGTGGTTGTCACATGACTTGCTAATTTGC